GGAATTTTTCGTGGGAGCATCGGAATCAGCCAAGTTTGTTTGGTTCTTTGGATCCACAGACTGGCCAACCACGGTGATTTGCTTTACCACACAATGGACCAATCTTCTGGCTTGTTATCCAATATCTGCTTCTAGTTTTCTCTTGCATTCTTTTGCTCTCAAGAAAATTTCATGAACCAAAATGATGAATTCTAGTTTACCTACTATTTCTCTCTTTCAATTCTATACTTTCATGTTTGGTAGGTCTCGAATTAAGGTAAATTAGAGTATGTTTTGAAATCGAGATGAAAGAATAATCAGATAGAGGTTGAATGGTATAAAAATAACCTTGCACGTGCCACTCACACGCCTCACTAGCGAAGATAAGTCGTCACGCGCCTGAAAGAGAGGAGAAGACACGCCTCGGGTTGAGAAGAACCAAATTTCTTAAAATGCACAAACTTCTAAAATTACTCCAAGATCGATCGTACTAAAGTTACAAAGGCCAATTTCTTAAAATTCCCATGAATTTTTTTGTTCTTTACGAAATCGAACGAATTCGGCACTCAAAATGAAGCTCCTCTGCATACTCAGAGTTTTTTGTGGAGGACTCTTGATCAAATTCAATCTCCTCTGACCGGATTGGAACGTTTTTCCCTTCTTCCTTCTGGTTGACTTTGACCAACAAATTATTTTTTCTACAATTTTATTTTATATTTTTTTTCGAGGTTTTCGAGGTTATTCCGAACATTTCTTTCTTCTACTGTATTCCAAAATTTGACCTCCAAAAACTTCACTAAAACCTTGAAAGCTTGATCATTAAATGAAAAAAATCGAGAAAATGAATTCTCATTGGAACTCGGGCGTTACAAACAAATTTAGGACATTTAATTTGTAAGTTTCAAATTTAGGAGACTGCTGCTCCCAAATGTAGGTGTAGTAGTATTCTATGAAATATCTTGCAAGTTTTTTAATATAGAGAAATTCTCCCTTCCCCTAGGTCAATATCTTTCTCCTTCCGTTATTAATTTCAGTGTACTTAGATTAAGAGTCAAAACCAACCGTGTTGATCTGTTAATCTCCCATCGAACCTCTCCGTAAGCGATTTACCATAAAAAATCATCCTCTTGAGAAAGAACAACAGCATGTGATCGCGGACTATCAACCCAACCTCATTGCTAATAGATATTGTCCACTTTGACCCGTTACGTAGTATCGTCAACCCTTATAAGGAATGTTTCGTTTCCCTCTCCAACCGATGTAGGATCTCACAATCCACCTCCTAGGGAGCCAGCGTCCTCACTCGCACATGACTCAGTATCGGGCTTTGATACCATTTGTAACAGTTCAAGCCCACTGCGATATTGTCCTCTTTGAACTTTCCCTTTCGAGCTTCCTCTCAATATTTTTAAAACGCTACTACTAGGGAAAGGTTTCCACACCCTTATAAAGAATGTTTCGTTCTCCTCTCCAACCGACGTAGGATCTCTGGCTTTTTTCTCTTGAATTTTTATAACTAAGCAGTTTATGATTCAGGAAACAGGAGACGGGTGGCAGTATAAAAATGGGCTAACCATCGCATCAATGGTTGAAAACATAAGAAACTTGAAAGTGAAAGGCATTAGCATGCTAAACTTGAGGCTGGACGACACCGCTAGGCTATTGAATGCAACCTTCATCTTGGTTCGATGGCATGAGACAGCCGATATGAAATGCACGCCAAGGATGTTCTCTTTAATAACCTCTCGCCATTTCCCTTACATCATTACATCTCTCCAAATAATGCCTCCATTCTTCAACCATTTTCAATGCAACCAAATTTACCAATTCCAAATTCCCATCAAATTCTTTCACGACACAATGAAGGCTATGAAACGCATCTTATATACTTCAATCACTCTCTCTCTTCGGAATTCCCTCAATCAAATGCTCCTTCAATTCCACAATTCAAGTAAGCAAAATTGAATCTTTGTTACAATTTTCATAATTTCTTTTGATTTCAAGAACACCCTTGTTCATCTTTCTTGTAAATTCTTTAAAAGCTGATTGATATCCATATAAATTCAAGGGATTGGGGAAGAACAGGTTCGTCAATTGTCATTGCTACCTTCAAGAGAGAAGGATGTGGGCGAAATTGATTATGGAATCTTTGTCTCAATTGATTCCGAAGTGTTTGAACGCATTGCAACAGATTTAAATGATTCCAATGGTGACATATAACTTAAATTCTTCTTCCTTCTATCAAGCAAATAATTTATTGGATGTTTCTAAGATCTTACGGTTGTTTTTGTCTCATCAGCTCTCGTTACTCTAACCAATTCACAAGTCAAGTTCTCTGTAGAAGCTAAGGAGATTAGTCTCGTAGAAGAGGTATATTGTAGAACCTGTTTGGAATGAGGACCCTAAATTAGCCACGGTGGGACTCCTCTTATTAATTCTCAACAATCCTCCCCTCGAACGAAGTACACTATCATGAGGCCTATGGAGCCCTCGAACAAAGTACACTCTTTGTTCGATACTTGAGTCACTTTTGACTACACCTTTGAGACTCACAATTTCTTTGTTCGGCATTTGATGTTTCTATTGACATGACTAAGTTAAGAGCATGATTATGATAAAATGTTAGGAATCATTAATCTCCACCATAGTATGATATTGTCTACTTTGTGTATAAGCTCTGGTAACTTTGCTTTGAGCTTCTTCTAAAGGTCACGTACCAATGAAGATGTATTACTTACTTATAAATATCATGATCATTATCTAATGTAGCCAACGTAGAACTTCCTCCCATTAATCTTCCACGGAACCATTTTTGTTATTATGTTTCTTGATTTGGTATGCGTTTGTGCAGAGAAGAGAATGCATGATTGGAGGCCTTTCAAGAAGCCAAGAAACTCGATTCTTTGTTTCTCTCAATCCCATAATTTTTTTTCGGGATTTGGCACATCAATCGAAAAGGATATGGTTGTTCAAGTCAGCTAAGGCCTATAGTATAATCATTGCTCCAATTGGATTGTATGCACAATTTTGTGTCTATTTTTCCCCAAGAGGGTGATGTATGGAAATTAAATTTTGGGTTTTTTTCAACTTAAGAACAACAATATATTTTTTTGGTTAATTCTATTTGAGTATCAAGAAGATGAGTATGAATATGGGGATAACCATATGAACCAATTGACAAGCAATGACAGCTCGATCCTAAGAGAAGTAATAATGTGACTATTAGAAGATTGTTGAGAGGAATCTCACCTTAGTTGATTAAGAGTTTTTCGTAAGCTTATAAGCAAATGATACTATCTTTATTGATACGAGACATTTTGGGGAACTAAAAACAAAAGTATGAAAAATATATGCTCAAAGGGGGACAATATCATACTATTGTGGAAGTTTGTAATTTCTAATAGTGATGAGTCTTCTTCGACATCATCTCATTATGGTGCCATTATATTTAATGAGCTCACACATTCTTCTGCGATCTCTCTCTCTTGACAATACCTTAGGTGATAAGTGCGATCTATGCCCCGTCAACATCATAATAGCATGCACCTCACACTCGCACAACTTCAAGTCTCTTGTCCAACGACGTGGGAGGATTGTTGGGAGTCACACATTGGCTAATTTAGCGAATGATCATGAATTTATAAGCAAGGAATACACTTACATTGGCTTGAAGTCTTTCAAGAAAGCCCAAAACAAAGGTACAAGAGTTTATTCTCAATTTTTTCACTTGGATCGTATGTTTTGTCCTTATATATCATAACACATTTTTGTATAATTTACAACCATGGTCAAACCTAAAGCTTTCCTACGATTTTAGAGAAAGTCATGTAATTAAACCATATTGTAAAATTTTTTATTAGTGGTTAGGTTATGTAAAATTCATTTTATATAATCCACTTGATTTCAATTCCTCATAGAACAGTTTCATATTATTTTTATAAACAAATATTCTCATATAAGAAAAATATACATAATTTTTATAACCTGCTAAAACATGTAACACTAAGACTTGCTGCATTAATAATTTAATCTCAAATAAAAATATATTACAACCATGCTTTGCTTGAGTTGTAATTATCACTTAAAACTTTCAATTCGTCAACTACACAACTCCTAAAATTTGCAGTTACTTTTTGAAATATTATCATTTTTAATTATTGAATTTATAAATAGATGTAACTCATTCCCTAGGATGTCATCACCCACATTTCTCACCATGAACCGTTTTCATCAAATTACTAAATGGGTCATATTAGACAATAAACATTATTCATATACTACAAAATTTTTAAATTATTATTTAAATATGATCCTCCCAATAATAATTTTCAATTTTTTTCATATAATGGATAATCAGAAAATAAATTATTAATTACGAGTGACATAACTCTCAACAATCCTTCCCCGGCTAACTTGATCTTCATTTTCATTTTTGCAAATATGGTATGGCTTAAAAATGGTCTGCCAAAAATTACAAATAACAGAATAAATAAAATCTAGCAAATATGGCCAAAAATGACTAAAACCCCATGTAATCAATTTAAAAAATTAATACCTAAAATAAAATTTTAAAAATGTATGATTTGAAGAAATAAAGTAGTAATGCTTTAAAATCTATTTCAATTTTCAATTTGTGTAGCTTTTTTTTTTTTTTTTTTTTTTCAAGTCACATAATCTTGGTATAAATATTCAAAACAAAAGCTACCTCTATTTCATTTATGAAAATAAGATTATTTGATTTAACAAAAAAATCACCCATAAAAAGACCTATGGCATATACAACCCAAAATGATTAAAAAAGAATCACATATTAAAATATTAATTTAGCCCATCTCAATATCCATATAACCAAAAATCAAGATTTAAAATATCAATTTTGCCCATCTTGACATAACTTCAGCTCAGTTCCAAGTCGATGTAGCCAAAAATCATAGTTTAAAATATCTATACAGCCCATCTTGATATTAATATGGCAAAAATTCATATAACCAAAAATGGTAAGATCAAAAATGATCAAAAAAAAAAAGAAAAATTTACTGTGAGAATCTCTTCAAATGGGGTACATAAAGCATATACATAAAATTCATCATAGGCTATTTCCATAGATATCCAGGCATTAAAGACTTCAATTTGGGTGACCTTCTCCTAATTCTATCAAGAGTAAAGGAATTTAACAGAGAACTTACGTAATTGTATCTAGGATAACAGGCCACAATGTTGCTCCATTCTCTGGTAAAGCAGACCATCGTTGTGTTCCAACGTGTCGACTTAAAGAACCAAACCAACTTGGTCGCACCCAATGCACCATGGAAAAAAGCCTTTGGTTTCAGAGCAAATGAAAAGTTTATTTCATCTACTCTGTCATCAAAACCTCCCCCCATGCACTCCCTTCTCTGCACCAACGATAGCTTTAGTATCAATTCACAACTTTAGATATTAATCTAAGTATAAGTATAGATAGAACCGGTTGAGGATGGTCGGGAGAAAGTCTCACATTGACTGATTAAGGAAATGTGATCATGAGTTTTTAAGTAAGGAATGCATCTCTATTGCTACGAGACTTTTTGGAGAAACCAAAAGCAAAGCATACCACTGTGGAGATCCGTAATGGCTATATATGTATTTAGGAACATAGTTAATGCATCATGTATTTGAATCTTGTAATTTATAGTACCTGTGCAGTAAGAACAGTCACCCCAGTAATCTCCCCTGTACGTGTTTTTTCATAAAAGATGACTTGTGAAGTGGATGCAGTAGCAAAAACTGTTGCAGAGGATGGATTCATTAATCTATGTATATGTTAAGTGCACATATGAGGAAGAGAAGTTGAGTTACTTGGTCCATTTTGGTCAGATAATCGTGTTGCTATCTCTCTGAGCTTTGCTGCATCAACTGCCACAAACAAATTCAGATCGAATTTGCTCACTGTCATATCTTGGGGAGGCACCGCCCCCAATAAAGCGAGAGAGCGAAACTCTCCATCCCCTGAAATCAAATTATAGCAATTAAGAACTCGAATCAGGTAAAACAATCTCAAATTGATTAGTTTGATACTCTAATCGAAATGCTAATTTAGGGCTTTTTCTCATTCAACTCATACATGATATTCGCTTAAATTGAAGAAATCAAATTATAACAATTAAGAACTCGAATCAGGTAAAACAATCTCGAATTGATGAGTTTGATACTCTCATCGAAATGCTAATTTAGGGCTTTTTTCTCATTCAATTCATAACAGTTCGATTAATCGTCTTCGCTCAAATTGAAGAAATCAAATCAAACCGAACAAATTATGGATCATAAGAAGAACTACAACACAATACAATGAGAATCAAGATTCTTATTAGGAAATGAAAATGTGAAAGGAAACAGAACGTACTAGTTAAAGATATAAGGCTGGCGGATGAGACGACACTCGGAACAAGAATGGTCAAGAAAAGATCGTCTTCCAAGATAATCTGAGAGAGTTCTTGAAGATCGATGTCGAGATTGTAATTGCCATCGCGAGCGGAGAAGATGGTGAAGAACGGATCGAACATTTGGAAGGCTGCAACCAAGAAATGGGATTCATCGGAATATGAGACAGTGAGGGACACCGAGAATTTGGAGCATCGGAGATTGGCAATGTTAGAAAGGGGAAGAAGTTGGACGATGGAGCTCCTCAGTTCACCCAATCCAAGAATCTGAAGCGTAAACATGGTGGGAGAGACTGAACCAGAAATGGCGGGGAGGTTCAAACTTCAACCACGTTTCATCTCCTTTTATACGTACAAACAAACACGTGCGTTGCACGGAATCTTGTAATTTTAATTTACACCTAATAGTTTCATGTTTTTTAAAGCAATATTTATGAAAATTGTATTTATTTTTCCTTATTCCTCGGAAATATTTGAATTATTAATCAAATTAAAAAATAAAATAATAATAGTTAATTTTAAATAATATAAAATAAGTCTAACCAAATAAAAATTGACATAAGGATTACTTAGAAGAAATTTTATAAAATAAAGAACACTAATTATTTGGCATTTTATTATGTATGAAAATTATTTATTATAGAAGAAATGTGTAGAAATTCATTTGAAAGCTAATGTTTAAAAATTAGAAATTACCGAGTCATAATATTTACATGTCTTGTTGCATTAATTTCTATCTTATAATTTAAATTTACAATCTTGAAATTATCAATCTCAGTCCACCCAATCTACAAAGCTAACATTATTATCTCTATATGTATTTTAATGGGTTGAAAATATATTTATAAGTATGGACGGGAACGGATAGAGCAGAGAATTGGGCTAGGACGGAGAATATAATTCTGTCACCAACTCCATTTATCAAACAAAAAAAAATTGTCTAGATGAGAAATTCTCTTCCCATTTGGGGTGAGTTCCCTCTAATAAAATGAACATCTCTAGTACAACGGAAAATCTAAAAGGCTAAAGAAGCTAGATTATACAACCGTAATGTTGTTCAAAATTGAGATGACGAACTTTTAATCATGAATGAACGAATGAGAAAAAATATGGATGGAGAATGAAAGAATGAACATATTGGTAATATACTTATATGCACATTTGACTGCTATTCTAATAGCTTCGTCCAATTCTATTTGGGGGAGAGAAGGAAAGTAAAAGACTTCGTCTAAAGTTGTTCCCAGCGATCTTGTGGGTTACTGGCCACAATGTTGGTCCAATACCCAGTCTCGAATACCACTAAAGTGTTCTTCTCAGTTGACCCATAGAAATACACCATCTTGTCAAGCTGTGATGCTCGGATGAAAAATTGCAACGGTATCACACTCACTTCAAATCGAACTCCACCGCCCAATGTTCCTTCAACTCTGCACCGGTTCCCCTGCATACAAGTATGATATATTTGATCATTTTTTGGTATTCTTGACCAAATCTTCATTTCTAGGCTCCTAAATTAGTTCCTAAAAGATTAAGTCTATAGATCTTCATATATTAGATCATTTATTTGCATTCTAAACACTCAATTTATGAGCTTGGAAATCATGCTACGGTTGAACAAGAGACTATCGATGTTAATCAAGAAAGAAATAACATACAAAAAGTTCAAACATGGAACATGGGTCCATTTGGCCTAAAATGTAACAAGTGGTTATCAATATCAAGGAAGGAAAGTATGCAATAAAAATTTGAACACATGATTGTTGAGGATTGTCGGGAAGAAGTTCCACGTTGGCTAATTTAAGGAATAATCATGGGTTTATAAGTAAGGAATACATCTCCATTGGTACGAGGGATTTTGAGAAAACCAAAAGCAAATCCATAAGAGCTTATTCTCAAAGTGGAAAATATCATATCATTGTGGGGAGTTATAATTCATAACATGGTATCAGAGTCATGCCCTTAACTTAGCCATGTCAATAGAACCCTCAAGTGTCGAACAAAGAGTGTACTTTGTTCGAAGACTCCAAGGAAAGAGTTGAGCCTCGATTAAGTGGAGGCTCTATAGTGTATTTTGTTCGAGGAGAGGATTGTTGAGGATTGTCGGGAGAGAGTCTCCACATGGACTAATTTTGGGAATGATAAGGAATACATCTCCATTGGTACGTGGCCTTTTGGGGAAGCCCAAAACAAAGCCATGAGAGTTTATGCTCAAAGTGTACAATATCATATCATTGTAGAGAGTCGTGATTCCTAATAGTGATCTCTACTAGTTTCTTTATATTCAAGCCCATGAAAGGAATGGTTTCAATTCAGACACTTGAAAAGTTTCCTCGAACTACCAAGGGATAAATACAGTGTACCTCTATAGGAATCACAAAATCCATCTCTGCAGCACAGAATTTCACTTCTGAATCCTTTGCAGTAACCGAGACTGTTCCAGAAGACAAGCTTTCATAAACTTACAAGAAGATAAGCAAATAAACGTAAAACTCCAAAAGGGTAGAAGAAGTTGATTTACTTTTAGTACTGAAGGCAGATAATCTTGTAGCAACGTCTCTGAACCATTCTGCGTTGACGGCCACAAATATTCCGCCGGCCATTGATGCCACTTGAATATTTAGAGGAGGTCCCATCTGCATTGGAGAGCAATATTCCAAATGCCCAACGCCTGAAATCAATACCAACAATTACGACCTAGACTCAAGAAAGACGAAGAAACGGGAATCAACACCATCTTGTAATTGACAGGTTTAACCAAATCTAATCGGATCGGAACTTTAGGGCTTTTGTTTACAATCAATCCAATTCCTACACGAGATCCATTCCCAAGCACAATCGAATAAAAACAAAACCCTAAAACTAAACGCGATTGAAATTTCCCCTGAATCTCAAAATTACAAACAAGAAATCGCAGATTCATCAAGAAAAAATAAAAGAATGAGAACCATACATGTGGTGAAAACGAGATTAGAGAAGGTATGATCATCAGGCATGAAAATGGTCAAGAGGCGATCGTCGGTGCCGGTAATGAAGGTGGCTAGGAACAAGCTGTCGATCTGAATACAGGAATGGAACTCTCGAGGGTGATTGGAGGACAAGAGGATGAAGAAAGGGTGAAATACCTCGAGGCGTGCGAAAATGAGAGAGGAGTTGTGGGAGCCGGCGACAGTGAAGGAGACGGTTGAGCGGGAGAATCTGAAATCGGCGTGGTGAGAAATTTGGAGAAGTGGAAGAAGATTGTTCTTCAACACTTCCACCTCTGCAACCTGAATCGTAAGCATGGTGATACGGAGAGAGGGAAAATGGCGGGGAAGGAGAAAATTTGAAGGAACTCGAGCAACCATACAACTTGTATAATAGTGTAAAAATTATCTTATTTATAATCAAATAAATTATAAAGTTATAGAATACTATAGTAAGAAGATAATAAAATATGAAATGTAATATATATAGTATACTATAATTTAATATTAAAATATCTTCAACATTATTTAATAATTTTTATTAATGTAATTATAGCGAAGGACCGATATTAAGTCCAAGAATTTATATTTTTTATTTCGATCTGCCAAACTGATTTAAGAAAGAATCTCCACCGTCGATTTAAAGGAATATCTTTCGTTTCTTAGAACACGTATATTAGTGGGGCATTAAGAGAGGGGACCATTGATATCTACCTTGGTTGGCTTGACTTTTCTAGTCCTTAGTTTGTTATTTCCTTGGACTTGGACAGGGAAAGCTCAAGTGAAATGACAACTTTACCCCTCAGTCTTCCATATGTTTTGAAGGCTACTTTTGACTATTTACAGTGTTTGACTTTTCTAGATTCCAATCCTATCCCTTCCAAGTATTATTGAGAATGCAAAAATTGATGTCTTGTCAAAAATTAGTTTTATTTTAAAAAATTTTAAAAATTTAAAATATTTTAAATATCAAGTTTCATTAGTTCAAAATAAAATTAACCCATTAAACTTTTAATACTTGAGATCAATTAATAATATAATTTATTCAAAATAAAATAAATTAAGAGAATGTTATCATAAGTTTATATAAATAAATAATATTTTTTTAGTTCTCGTAATTATTTATGAATTAATTAACTTCAAATAATTAATTATTTATTTTTATGAAGTCAATTTACTAAAATAATTTTAACGCATTAAACTCCGATTTAATTTTCAATGCCTTAAATTTGAGGTGGTTGAGTTTATTTATTAGACAATTATTTTAATAAAGTCATAGAAATTTTAAATATAAATAATTAATATGATAATCAAATTGATATATTAAGTATAATTAATTAATTTCACTACTTCCCACCTAAAGTACATCTTTTCAATTTATTGTCATCTTTCCTAGCCTTAAGGAGGCTCATTCTAAAAAAATTTAAAATATTAATAAAATTTTTGAAAGTTTAATTTTTTAAATACTTTTTTAAAAAATTAAGAATATTAATTTGAAACATTTTCAATATTAGGCAAGAATATTTCAAAGGTTTATTATTATTATTGTTATTGGTACAGAATATAATTAAAACTCTTAAAATTCAAGCATATAAAATTTAAAAAATATAATTTATGGCATAAATAAATAAATAAATAAATATACCATTTGCTTTTGTCATTTACCACTAAAGAAAAAATAAATAAAATAAAAATAAAAAAACTTTATTGTGGTTGAATTTTAAGAAAAGGAAAGTAGAGGCATTTTAACGTGATTTGATTTTTTCTCTTCCGTTTCAACTCTCCCTTCTATTCATTTCAAACCATTTTTCTGTCTCCCTCTCTACAATTCTTAGTTCATACCAATGAAAACTCTGCCACAAATCTTCTGCTCAAGATCATGGCGTTCCTCCGACAACAACCATCCTACCTTCAGAACCACCGGGGTTCTTATCTTCTCCTTCTTCCTCCTCCTCGGCTTATTCGTGCGTATCGGATGGGTTAAACCGGTTTGTTCTCAATCAAACTATGCTCTAACTTGGTTGATTTATTCCAATAATTCAAATATTTTTATACCTATTCTCTTCTAAATCTAACCAAAATGGACTTACTCTTTTATTAAATTTCATTGTTATTATTGTTGTTATTTCTGTCCGCAGCCCATATATTGGAGGGGGAAAGGGATGGCAGAGCACAGGTCAAATCTTTACCGTCCATCTAATGCCACTTGCCCGCCGCACTTCCGTTGGATCCATGAAGATCTACGCCCATGGAGAAACAAGGGGATCACTAAGAAAATGGTGGATGGGGCCCGCAAAACGGCCAATTTCAAGGTGATAATCGTGGACGGGCGGGTGTATGTGGAGAAATATAAAGGCTCAATCCAGACCAGAGATCTGTTCACCATGTGGGGGATTTTGCAACTTGCGAGATGGTACCCTGGGAAATTGCCAGATCTTGAACTCATGTTTGACTGTGATGATCGCCCAGTCGTCCGATCTAAAGACTTTAGTGGTCCATTGGCGGACCCACCTCCATTGTTCCGCTACTGCTCTGATGACTCCAGCTTGGATATTGTTTTCCCTGATTGGTCCTTCTGGGGTTGGTAATTATTTCTTTTTTCCACTAACTTTCTTTTTAATTTAGTTTCCTCCCAAATTTGAGTAAATAAATAATTGAATGAGAATAATTCTGAATATATGACGGTTAAAAAATAGTTACTATTGGGTTAAAATGTTTGACTATTCTTGAAGGGCGGAGATAAACATAAAGCCATGGAGGAAGGTATTGGAGGACATAAAGGAAGGGAACAAAAGAACCAAATGGAAGGAGAGGGTGCCCTTTGCTTACTGGAAGGGTAACCCACATGTTGATCCCTCTAGGGGAGACCTTCTCAAATGCAATCTCACCCAACACCAAAATTGGGACACTCTTTTATACGCTCAGGTAATTTCCTATTTCTATTTTCATTTTATATAACCAATTTCGTTTATGTTGTACCCTAATTTTGTTTGAAGGATTGGGATAAAGAGTCGAAAGAAGGGTACAAGCAATCAAATTTGGAAGATCAATGTACGCACAGGTACAAGATTTACATAGAAGGATGGGCGTGGTCGGTGAGCGAGAAGTACATAATGTCATGCGACTCAATGACGTTGTATGTGAAGCCAAGGTTCTTTGATTTCTTCGTTAGGGGAATGCTTCCTTTGCAGCACTTTTGGCCCATTAATGATCGATCCAAATGTTGTTCTCTCAAATTTGGTGTCGAATGGGGTAACAATCACACGAATCAGGTATTCGAACTCGAACGTAGAATTTTAATTTACGACCAAAACAAAATGAGCTCTATCAAAATTTAATTACAGGCACAAGCAATAGGAGAGGAAGGGAGCAAGTACTTGCATGAGAATCTAAAGATGGAATTAGTGTATGATTACATGTTTCATTTACTCAACGAGTACAGCAAGCTTCTCAAATTTCGGCCGTCGGTTCCTGGCGGTGCGGTGGAGCTTAGGCCTGAGACGATGATCGCCGCCGCAAATGGGTTGCATAAGAAATTTATGGAAGATTCGTTGGAGAAGTCTCGGAGCAAGTTTGAGCCGTGCAATTTGGCGCCTAATGATCCAACGGTCCTGAGGGAGTTTGAAGACAAGAAATTAAATGCCCTTAAGAAAGTTGAAAATTGGGAAAAGGAATATTGGGAAAATGAGAGGAAGGGAAATTAAAATAAATAATATGTATTTACATTACTATTATACTTTTTTAATGATACCAAAAGCAAAGAGGTGAGGACGTCGATCGGATACTACGTATAATCATATATAAATAAACATGATAGTCTTGAATTCGATACCATAACATATAGCACTCTAATTAGAAAATTTTATGAACAGGAAACGACTACAAAAAGTGTCAAAACTACTACATGGATCAAGTATTCTAACTCGAGCAGACCTATGGATGCATTTTGTGAAGAATCACGTACTTTCAACAACTCACGACGGAACACTGTCAAGAAAAGGAGTGATGGCAGCCTACTGCATAATGAATAAAATTCCTATGAATATGGAGAAATTGCTCGTCAATAGCATCCAAGAGCCAAGTGGAAGGACCAACGAAAAGTTTGTATTGCAGATGTTGATATCAGAGAAAATGAGCCCACACAAGAAGTATACAATCACATAATTCATTTGACTTCTATTTGAATAAGACATCTCTACTTATAGATCATATAGTCAGCGTGCCTTGGTTCCATCTTCTACGCTAAAATATACCCTCTTTTGGCTTCTTTCATCAAGCTTTTTGATATATGGTGTTGCAATCTTAGCATGTTTTGTACAACCAAAGACTCTTAGATGCTCGAAGTGAAGTGTCGTATTGAACCATGTTTCGTAGGGGGTATGAGTATCCATAACTTTTATCGGTAAACAAACCGCATGTTGTATTGTCTCACCCTAGAAAATCGTCAGGACTTGGATAATCTTGAGTAAACTTCTAGTAGTGTTCATTATGATGTGGTTTCTTCGCTTAACCAAGCCGTTTTGTTGTGGAGTGTACGATGCGGTGAGTTGACGCTCGATACCTTCCTCTTTGCAAAACTTTGAGAAGTTCTGGGATAAGGACTCGTCATCTCGATTAGTGTGCAAGATTTTCAGTTTGTGATCAGACCCATTTTCATCCAAGTCCTTTGAACTTCTTGAACGCACATAATGTCTCTCTTTTTTCTCTAAGCATGTACGCTCACATCCAACGACTATAATCGTCGTTGTCATAAACCAACAAGTAGCTTGTGATCAGACCTGTTCTCTTGGAGTGATAGTGACAATCATACCTAGTAAACCGTTTCCAAAAACAAACAAGTAGACGTAAAATAAGTCACGACTGACAACCTTCCTTACTAAGAAACAAAATTATTGAAGAAAAATAGTCTTAAAAGACAAGTTTAGGATTATTATTTATTTATTTATTTATTTCTGCGTACAAAAAGCTAATTATTTCTTCTTCCCGTGTTTTTCCCCCTCATATATATATATATATATAATTTATTTTTACTTCTCCGAAGAGAAAATAATAGTAATGAATTTGGGATTGAAATAAATAAAAGTCTTATCCTTAACTTTTTTTTATAATTTAATTAAAAAAAATAGGCTTTAATGTTAAAATAAAAATTAAAAAACAAAATATTTCATATCTTAAAACAATTTTTCTTTAAGAAAAAAAAGCTTTTGAAAAGTATTATTTTTTAGTTTTCAAAATTTGAATTAGTTTACTTAGAGTAATAACGTAAACAGGCAAAAAAAAAAAAAAAAAAAAAAAAAAAAAAAAATCAAATTATTTTTAAATAAGACATATATTAATTATTTTTATTTTTACTTTACTCTTTCCATTTAAATTTAAATTTTATTATTATTACTATTTGAAGTTCATGCAACGTTGTTACGAACAAATAGATGATTTAAAGACCGACCGAATCCCTTATTTAAAAGTTATCGAACTTTTAACATTACAAAAGAAAAAAAAATCTCCATGTGTGTTACGAGGGGCATGAAAGGGACCATTGAAGTCAACGTTGGTAGACTGACTTATATTATTATTTTATTAATTTGTGAAAATCACAGTTTATTAATTTCTTAAGCTTGACAGGGAAAGAAAAAATAAAATGACAATATTACCCCTGAATTCTCATACAATCCGTACTGTCCACCACATGTCTTGAAGGCTAAATTCGACCATTTGCAGTGTTAAAAGACATTTCCAAATTCCTATCCTTAAGTATTATTGAGAATACTCAGATTAATTTTAGAATTTTAATCGCTCATAAATATTTATTTTAAAATTCTGTCTATCATTATTTATAACTACCAAAGACTAGTTTGAAGATTATTTAATACAAAGGCCAATAATTTAATTAAAAAAATAATTATCAAAAAATAAATATTGGTAGTGTCGATCCAAAAATAAGGCTGCTTTATAAAATAATTTATCCCCACTTGAGATGTCCAGTATATAAATAAATTTAAAAAAAAAAGAAAAAAAAAAGCAGACTTTTGGGGGAGCCAATAGGGATTAATTGAGGGTATTTTTTTAAAAAAGAATTTGTTAATGAAACAAAAGTATTGCCATCAAAACGTGATGTCGTCCCCTCATTACATTGCGAAATTTAAAGCCCCCAACCCATTCATTTCCTCTCTGTGTGTAAGCGATGAAGCGCTGTGTGGATAGATTCGTGCACCAAATCTTGTGCTGTGATTCCTATTCCTCCGACGCTCAACCCCCCAGATGGCGATGCTGCTCGCTCGCCCACAAGCCCACCTTCAAGACGCTCGCCTTTGTCTTCTGCGTCTTCCTCGTCGGCTTCTACCTCCGGCTGCAATGGATCAAAGCGGTATGTTCTAATCCTTCTGCCCTTTTCTTCATCGATATCAACGTTGCCTTTCCTTCCGACCTTTTTTTTTTTTTTAATTAATTAATTAATTTTGTATTAATTTAATATTTATTTTTTTGGCAGCCAACATACTGGTGGGAGAAAGGGATTGGAAATGAAGACTATAAGTCAAATTTGAGCGGCGTAAATCAATACCGTCCATCGGATGCTACGTGTCCGCCTTACTTCCGTTGGATTCATGAAGATCTACGGCATTGGAGAGAGACGGGTATTACAAGAGAAATGTTGGAGCGGGCCCGGAAAACGGCTCATTTCAGAGTAGTAATCCTGGAGGGGCGGGTGTATGTTGAGAAATATATGAATGCATTTCAGACCAGAGATGTGTTCACATTATGGGGGATTTTGCAGCTTGTTAGATGGCATCCTGGGAAATTGCCGGATCTTGAACTCATGTTCAATTGTGATGATCTCCCAGTGGTCCGATTAAATGACTTTTGGGGCCAATGGTCGGTCCTACCTCCTCTCTTCGGTTATTGCTCGGATGAGTCCAGTTTGGATATTGCCTTTCCTGATTGGTCCTTTTGGGGATGGTAAGTATTCTTTTTCCCACTTTATTTATTAATTTCATAGATTAGGAAATCCGGGAAAGGATATTTGATTTAGAGTAGGAGCGTTTCTTATTTGGTCGAGTTTTGAAAGGCTTGTGGACGTGTGTTAAAGGGTGGAACTAAACATAAAGCCATGGAGAAAGATATTGGAGGACATAAGAGAAGGGAACAAAAGAACAAAATGGGAGGACAGGGTGCCCTTTGCATACTGGAAAGGGAACCCAGAGGTGCACCGCTCCAGGAAAGACCTTCTCAAATGCAATCTCACACAGCACCACAACTGGGGCACTCTCGTGTATGCTCAGGTCATTCCCTCCCTCTTCGTTTCTTTTTTTGCATTATCTATAAATAATTAAATCAAAGTTTAGGGTATATTTTCAAATTTTCAAATTTAAAGGGAAATTGTGAAATGAACTAAATTTGGATGTAAATTGTTGTTCAAAAAATTATTTTGTTTCAAGGATTGGAGTAAAGAATCCAGACAAGGGTTCAAGCAATCAAAACTAGAAGACCAATGCACACACAGGTGCCTCATTCATTCTCTTTTCAACAACAATTAATTAAATTAATTTTAGATTCAATTAATGTTTTCACTCTTTTATTTTTAGTATTGAGAATAAAAAAATATTTCTTTCCCATGTGCTTTCAAACATTAGCCCATGTTCTCATCTATTTATTATTCATTAAATATATATATGTTAGATGTCAAATTTTAACTATATAATTTATTTGTTTTTGGTTGAGTTCTAATGATCTTTCCTTGTTTAAGGTATTTTAAATATTGTTCGTTTTGGCTCGTTACATATTATCGTCAGTCTCATGATTTTAAAATATGTCTACTGGGGAAATGTTTCATTCTCCTCCCCAACTAATGTGAGATCTCACTATTCATCCTCTTGAGGCCCAGCATCCTCGCTAGCATACCCCCCCAATGTCTGACTCTAATATCATTAGTAACAACTTGAGGCCACTGCTAGTAGATATCATCAGTAATAACCTGATGTCCGGCTCTAATAACAACCTGAGGCCACTTGTTAAAAGAAAAAAATAGAATACAAGAAATAGTATTATGATCGTATACGTAATAGTATTTTCTATCCTAATTATGTTTGCCCAGTCTTTAGTAGCGTTGACAAAGGAGAACAACCCCTCTTATTGACCGATGGAGAATTTATTGTCCTATCCTTTATGTTGCGATTGTTGTCATAGAAAAAGAGTTTGTTTAATGGTTGGTCTATATTTGAACGGATCGCATTATTGGTATTGAAATACAATAATAACTATGAATAAACAGGTACAAGATATATATAGAAGGACGAGCGTGGTCGGTAAGTGAGAAATACATAATATCATGCGACTCAATGACGCTGTATGTGAAGCCAAAGTATTTTGATTTCTTCATAAGAGGAATGGTTCCTTTGGAACACTTTTGGCCTATCAACGACCAATCCAAATGTCATTCTCTCAAATTTGCCGTCGAATGGGGTAACAATCACACAAATCAGGTAGTCCTCATTTTTTTTTTTTTCTGAATAAAATTGTGACACCCGAGTAAAAGAGTGGTTCATTACTGAATCAACCGAAAATTAAACCAAATTTAATTTAATTTCAGGCACAAGCAATAGGAGAAGAAGGGAGCAAGTACTTTCAAGAGAATCTAAAGATGGAATTTGTCTATGATTACATGTTCCACTTACTCAACGAATACAGTAAGCTTTTAACATTCCGGCCGACGGTGCCAGCCGGCGCGGTGGAGCTGAAGCTGGAGACGATGATCGGCAGCGCTGTGGGGTTGACGAAGAAATTTATGGAGGATTCAATGGAGAAGTCTCCGAGCAAGTCAGGGCCGTGCGATTTGCCGCCTCATGATCCAACGGTCCAGAGGGAGTTTCAGAATAAGACGTTGAATGCTCTGAAGCAAGTAGATATTTGGGAAAAGGAATATTGGAAAACTCAAAGGAAGGGGAAATGGATTTGGGATTAATTTGCTTTTGGTGAAATAAACCCTAATTTATTTGATGAAAAGTTGTTTTTATTTCTTAAAGGAAGGGTAAATATTTATAAAATCATCTAATATTAAATGTATTTATTCCATTTCGTCTATTATAAATTTTTTTCTCAATTAATTTCGATCAAATAATGATGTAATATATTGCTTTTGAGATCCGTCGCTGTTAGATGTCTTTGTTCTCACGTGTTCTAACATCTATTTAGCTCAGTTGAAGTATGATTGAGGATTTTTTTTTTCTCATCATTTATGTTCGGTTTATCGTTCTCCAATCAATTTAACTTGGGTTTTATGAATTGTAAGATTTATACATATAGTAGTTACAATAGTTGGTGAGATGTTGGAACTCAGTTTGAGTCGAGCAATTAAGGCCTAAAGAAGAAATAATGGTATATTTTGAACAATTTTAGATAAAGTTGAAACTTGTCGAGCTCGCAAATAGGGTAAAGTGAATATACTGTTGGATGCTATAAACTATGCCGAAGACAATATATAGTAATATATGTTATTATGCAGGTACAGAATTTTAATGTTGATGATGCAAATATGTGATTCATGTCATAACACGATCATGACGATATTTTACGAGTTGTCTTATGCATTCTTATTCTAAGGAGGTGGCAATATGTAGCACCAAAACCCTAACGTGTCACCACAAATAATCCATGAGCCTAACAAGCTACCCAAAGTTTCACAATGAATGAACCCTTGACGTCAGACCAAGTAAGTGGCTAACAAAAAAATACACAAAACCAACATGATTCCGAAAGAGGCATAAAAAAGGGCAAAGATGTAAATGGTCTACTTGAACATAGACCAATCTCGAGAGAGATCAACTCGACCATAAGGTTGACCCTAAGTGCTCTAGTAAGCCATAAGGCCAACCTCGAAGGAGTTGACACACCTAGAAACTACTCTCCAAGCGGTTGGTGTTGGTGATAACAGAAAACTGAAGTGAGATTGAGAGGAGTGATTTGAATGATGGAGAGGGAGGTCCTTTTATAGGGGATTCCCGGAGTTGGTTGAGAGTTTTGTGGATGAAATTGAATTCACCTCCTCCTTCTCCTCCGTAGTAACTAATTCAAACTCTATTATTAGCTTCAACACCCTCCCTTAAACTGAATTCTGCGGAAATCAGTTTAGGACTTCACTTCATCTTCTTGATATACATCTTGGATTCTCAGTTTAGGACTTCACTTCATCTTCTTGATATACATCTTGGATTCTGCACATCCCCATCTTTCTTCTAAGCTTCTCGAACAATGGTTGTTTCAAGGGCTTTGTGAATAGGTCTGCGATTTGTTCATCACTTTGGCAAAAGTTGAGTTCAATAATGCCTTCTTTACACAAATCACGCAAGAAATGAAATCGAACATCGATGTGCTTGCTCCTTCCATGCAACACAGGATTTTTAGACAACTTAATAGTTGACATATTATCACAATATATAACCGTCGTACCTGGTTGCTTCTGATTAAAAATTTCAAGCATTTTTCTTAACCAAATTGCTTGGCACGAGCATGCTGCTGCTGCCACAAATTCTGCTTCTGTAGTTGAGAGTGTTACAATAGGTTGCTTCTTTGAAGACCAGCAAATAGCTCCTGAACTCATCATGAAAATACTTCCTGAAGTACTTTTACGATCGTCTATATCACCTGCATAGTCGCTATCTGTATAGCCAACCATCTTCGGATCATCTCCTTTCTTGTAGAATACCCCCAAATCAAAGGTTCCTCTCACACAACGAAGTATCCTTCTTGCTGCATTGAGATGTTTTTCCAGTGGATGCTCCATGTAACGACTTATCATACTAACCGCATACATGATGTCTGGTCTTGTTGAAGTGAGGTACATCAAACTTCCCACAATTTGTTTGAAGTACCTATTATCAACCTCTCGCCCGTCAATATCCTTGTGCAACTTTAAACCCAATTCTGATGGAGTTCCAAATATGCGCTCATCTAATTTAAATTTTTCAAGTAATTCTTGAGCATACTTCTTCTGACAGATAAAGTTACCTGCGGGAGTTTGAGTAACTTCTACTCCAAGAAAATATCTCATCAAGCCAAGATCTGTCATTTCAAATTCCTTCATCATGCTCTTCTTAAAAATAATGATAAGCAAATAATGATAATGTTACCTCCCTTTTCAGTTTTCACATACAGCGTATGTTCATACGGGCATTTAGTGAATCCCATCTTTTCAAAATGAGAATCAATGCGACTGTACCATGCCCTCGGAGCTTGATTCAAACCGTACAAAGCTTTCTTCAACTTGTATACTTGTTCCTCTTTGCCTTTTTGAACAAAACCTTCTGGTTGCTCCACATATACTTCTTCTTGAAGCTCTCCATGTAAGAAGGCCGATTTCACATCAAGTTGATAAATAGGCCAAGATTTCTGTGCTGCAATAGAAATTATGAGCCTGATAGTGTCTTGACGTGTCACTGGTGCAAATACCTCCTTATAATCAATTTCATTCTTTTGCTTGTATCCTTTTGCAACAAGTCGCGCCTTGTACTTATCCACCTCACCGTTTTCATTCAACTTGGTTTTGAAAACCCATTTTACTCCGATTGTTTTCTGCCCTCTAGGAAGATCAGTGAGCTCCCAAGTCTTGTTCTTCTCTATGGATTTGATTTCACTGTCCATAGCTTCCTTCCATTTCTTCTCCTTTACTGCTTCTTCATAGACAATTGGATCACTATCCATAAAGAATGCAAAACAACCACTATCACTTGATTCATAGTCCATCTCATAACAATCATCCAGTTTGGTCTCTTTCTTGTTCTTGGATGTCTTTGATTATGATCATGATCTTCTTCTACTGGCTCTTCTTGTTGAGCTTGTGATGAGCTCTCTCCATGCTCATAGTGAGGCTGAATAGGGGCTTCAGTTTGTTCTTCTTCAAGATCTACAGAAATCTGCTGATTCACAGTGATCTTTTCTTCCCATGTCCAAGTCTTCTTTTCGTCAAAGACTACATCACGACTTACCACCACCTTCTTTGTCAAAGGATCGTAGAGCTTGTACGCCTTAGAGGTCTCGCTTACTCCAAGGAATACACACTTCAAACTCTTGTCCTCAAGTTTCTTCCTTTTCTCATCAGGAACGTGTGCATATGCTATGCACCCAAAGATTCTAAAGTGGTCTACTGCAGGTTTTCTTCCACTCCATGCTTCTTGTGGAGNAGTCATATCTCTAACAGAAAAAGTAGGGCTCCGGTTGAGAATGTGAACGGACCACACAATAGCTTCTGGCCAGAATTCCTTCGGGACTTCTCCTTTATTTAGTAAACTTCGAACCATGTTGAGAATGGTTCTGTTTTTTCTTTCGGCCACACCATTTTGTTGTGGTGTATATGCTGTTGTTAACTGCCTCCGTATGCCCTTCTCTTCACAAAATTGAATAAACTCTTTCGAGCAAAATTCTCCACCTCTATCAGTTCTTAAAGCCTTGACTCTTCTTCCAGTTTCCATCTTCATAGTAGCTCAAATTTTTTTGAAGCAATCAAAGGCTTCTGATTTGGCGTGCAAGAAATAAGTCCATGTTTTTTGACTAAAATCATCGATGAGGGTCATGAAATATTTCTTGTTATCATTTGATGCTGAAGAGATGGGACCACATATGTCCGAATGAATCAACTCCAAAATTGCTTGAGCTCTTCTTGATTTTCCGGATGGAAAAGAGTTTCTTTCATGTTTTGCTACTACACAGCTCTCGCAAATTCCCGTTGGTGGAGTAATATCTGGCAACCCAGTTACCATCTTCTTTGAGGACAACGTCTTTGATTCTTTGAAGTGTAGATGACCATACCTAAAATGCCAAAGCCATGTGGTATCTTCTTTCTTCACCATCAAACTTTTGGCAACGATATTTAACGTCAACGGATATAGACGGTTGGTGGTCATCTTCATCTTAGCAATCGATCCTCTTTTGGAGTCATAAATTTCACATTCATCATTTTGGAATGTGATCACATACCCCTTTTCTTGTAACTGACCGATACTAAATAAGTTGGCTTTCAGATCAGGGATGTAGAATACATTAGAAATAGACTCTACAAAGTCATTTCTAGTCTTGATATCTACGGTTCCTTTCCCCATCACTTGGAGAGTTGAATTGTTGCCAAGAGAAACCGTAGTATGAAAATTTTCATCTAGAGTTGAGAAGAATTCCTTACAACATGTCATATGATTGCTGCATCCAGAGTCTACGACCCATACACCTTGATCTGCAACCTTCATAGCATGGAATGACATTAATAATGTTTCTTCTTCTCTTCTCTCCACAAAATTGGATTGATCTCTTTTCTCCTTTTGGAGCTTGGTATAGCATTCATTTTTGTAATGTTCAAGGCGTCCACATCTGTAACATTCCACCTTAGACTTGTCAAAGTGTCTCTTGCCTTTGTTGTCATAATCGTTTCTGACTAAATCTGCTGACCTGCCAACATCTCCACTTCTTTTTCGACTACCTCTCCCACGACCTCTGCCTCTTCTTTGCCCTCTACCTCTAGAGCTTGAAGTTTCATTTGGTGTGGATATCTTTAAGGCTGTCATCTCCTCTATTGCACTTGTACGATTGAGCCTCTGCTCATGTACTAACAGGGAGCTTTGGAGTTCATCTATTTGCATCTCTTCAACATTGTTTGCTTCTTCGATAGAACATACAATGTAATCGAACTTTGGAGTTAGTGATCGCAAAATCTTTTCTATGACCGCAACCTCCGTGATTGAACCACCATGCATCCTCATTTTACTTGCAAGACTTATAACCTTGCCAATATAATCATTCACCGTTTCTCCCTTTTGCATTTGGAGAATTTCAAAGTCTCTTCTGACGGCTTGTAGTTGAACACGTTTTACTCTCGTTGAGCCTTGATACTTCCTCCTCATAGAATCTCAAATTTCCTTGGATGTCTCTTATGAAGCATTGTTTCCAAGATAGTCCTATCAATGGACTAAAATAAATAGTTCTTGACCTTCAGGTCCTTCAACTTCGATGCTGCCAACAGTTGCTGTTGAC